CCTCCCTCCCTCCCTCCCTCCCTCCCTCAATTTTGTTTTGCTATTTCCCAAATTGCATTTTAATAACAATCAGGATTTCAAAAATAGTATTATGTGATTGTATTAAAGTAAATTTAATAACATCTTTGTTGAGTGCCAAATGTATATGGCAGCAAATGTAAAATACAAACAGCTTTCCATACCCACTGACAATATGTACTTTCCCAGGGCAAATGCACAGACTTAACTACAAATATTTTTCAAGCTAACCTGAAGTTTATTTACACAGCTGGGAAGCACTGAACTTTCCTTTCCTTTCTTCCTCATTTCACACTTGACCTCTGCCTCTACTTATTTTCAGGCCTTTCTGCTTCCTAAAATATTGGGGATCTCTGAGATGGGATCTTTGAGGTAGAAGTATAAATTATGTGACTTCATTTTGATTATGACTTTATAGATTCTTTGTTTCAGTTGTTTCCAAAATTTGCCTTTTTGTTCATCCTAATACTCAAGGCTGAATTCTATTAAAAACAAAATCCAACAATTTGAAATATAACATGAATAATAAAGTTAATTAACTGTTAAAAGACTAGAGAAAGAAATGAGCCTTTTTTCCCTAAATGGTAAGAAAATGAGAGCTAAACACAATTTTTGAAGCAGTGCATTCAGCATCCCTGAAGCTATCTATGCTAGAGATGATCCTTTCACGAGGGAGACATATATGAGTTTTTGCCAGTAGGGACATATTCAGACAAATGTGCAGATTCTTACAGATTTGAACATCAAGATAGATTTAAAGTGGGAAAGACAGACTTTTAATAAAGTAAGCCTGAAACACTATTAGATTCAATTGTAAAACTCAATAGTAATACCACCAATTGTCCTTGATGACTAGCAGAGAACCATTGCAGAGCGTTTAAAATATTCATCATGTGATCCCTGAAACTTCTAATGGTTATCAACCCATTTGGTATTCATTTCAGTTTTTATACAACTTTCAAGGATAATTTCATATCTTCAGGTAATAATTAAGATGAAATGTAATCCTGGCATAGATACCAAATCAGAGCAACTCGGAATGATGATTCTAACCATAACAGTGCAAAAGCGTTCCTCACTTTAGCTGCCATCTTGAAATCCAGAAGGATCAAGGAATGCCCCCCCAGCTGTAGACCTATTCTTTTTGAGGAGTTTAAACTGACTCTAACTCCCAGGTTCACATTTCTAACTATCAACAGCAATCACTTTGTCTATTTTTCATTTTAATTTGTACTACTGCAAACAGAACACTTTATAAGGATACTAATTACCTAGCTGAACTTGAATGACAAGAAGCAATAGAGCTGAATGTCAGCCGCATACTGATGGAATCCCACTCCAAAACTCTGAGAAAAACTCTTTCCCAAGAGGAAAGCTTTCTCTCCTGATCCATATTTTAGTCTTAATTTGCAAGTTGCCATTGTTTTTAATAGCATTAGGTAGGATAACTTTTGGAAGCATGATTTTGAATACCATTTGTATTGAAATATCATATATTTTAGATTACTTTCTAATAATTAGCTTAACCTAATACCATAGTTTTATCTTTTCTGATCTGCTTGTGGATATGGGTCTATCAACAGCGATCAGCACATGTGATTCCTGCTATAATAGAACCTCAGCCAGGTAGAAACTTCTTAACTTTAGTTTGAAATTGGGATCTCTTAATTTGAATACTAAATGTATTTGTAGTGAATGAATCTCATGGAGCCCTAATTAACTATAGGACATTTGTAAGATCCATTTCTAGTCTTTTCTAGTGTTGATTGGATATATAGCTACTCTTTGGCATGCCATTTAAAAATCTATATTTGTTATTTTAATTAATACAATTTGTATGGATTTGTGTTATTAGTTTATATTCCCTATGTGTTTATTTGTGAATGTCAAAGTTTTACCATGCTGTAGTAATCTCTATTAATGATCAAGATAAGGAAATTTACATTAGTTCCACTTAGTCCATAATAAGTGTTGACATGAGTTTTTATGTATAATAACTATAGTGATACAGGTTAATTAATTCTAGAGGAAAAATCTATGTGGACTAGCCCTTGGGAAAACTGTAATATTTAAGTGCAGCTTATTAAATTCTCTTCATGAAAGTGGCTAGTAAGGCAGAATTTTCCCTAGATGTTTATTTTAAGAATGCGAGAAAATTTTAGGTCAATACAATCTCTAATGATTGTCATCTCCAGTAGTTACATAGGATTGTTTTGTTCAGTTGAAAAAAATACAAAAAATGAAATTAACTGGCTATGCCATTCAAATTGTAATGCTGACATCTGAGTTCTAATTCCCCACCCTCCTTTTTAACCACTTGGTAATGATTTTGTTCAACTAAATTGATTGAAACCATAGTGATGAGTTTGCTTTCCCATCAATTTGAAAAGTGGGATGTTGCTAACCTTATCAAATTTGTACAGTATGACTTGACAATCATTGCTTAAACCTATAAAACTGCCTAGAATTGCCTAGAGATTATAGAGATAACATGAATAATATTGGAAGTATTCTCTGTAGACTGTTGTGGATGTGAATAATGGCCTCCTTGTGAATTCTAATTAACTTTTTTTAAACGAAACTATTAAGGTTCTCCAACCAGAGATGTGGGCCCTTCGTTAGGCCTGAAGAAATCCAGCTCTTTAGAAAGTTTGCAGACAGCAGTTGCTGAAGTGACATTGAATAGTGACATCCCCTTCCATCGTCCACGACCACGAATAATCCGAGGACGAGGATGCAATGAAAGTTTCAGGGCAGCAATAGATAAATCATATGATAAACCTGTTGCTGACGAGGATGATGAAGGCATGGAAACCTGTAAGTAAATCATGTAGAATTCCTTTCTTTACATTCTTAAAGTCATCTATAATTTTGGATTAAATTCTGTTGAAAAACCCATAAGATGCTTTAGTTTCATAATAGAATTATAGACTTCAAATCACAGGACACAATTGTTCTATTTAGTTTGGCTTTGGTAACACACACACACAAACACACAGACACACACTTTGCCTTATATTTTATTTATATAAAATTCTGGTAGCATACCTCTTGAATAACTCAATTCATGGGACAAATGCCAAGAAGGGCACCAATTAACATCAGAAAACTAGAAATCACTGGAAATTTTTGGTATTGTTTACATTCCATGAATACTTAACTGAACTTCTTATTTAGAAATAGAAGCANAAAGGTCTCCTCCCAAAGTCTCTTCTTATATACTCTCTTGGGAGGAGCCAAATCACAACCACCTGGGCCTGATTATCTCCTATGAATCTGTCTCCGTAATTGCTGCCTTTGCTTCTCTGCCTGGCGCCAGGGACCAACTCCCCTTGCTCCTCTCCAGTGCCTGACACGAGGGACAAACTCCCTTTGACTTTCATCACTGCTCCATTCCTCAGGTGCCTCCTGGTGGCCAATCAGCCTCTCTGGTTCGTGCTTGGAGTCTGAACCCTGCCCAGGGTCCTCCACATCTTCCAGAGGCAACTCATAAGGTCCCTCGCTATCAGAGTCTGTCAGCAGCTCCAATGGCTCCTGCTGGGCCACAACAGGAACCCATATTTTGACATCATTAGGAAGGATGCTAGGAGCCACAAAATGCATGAAGACCTTTGAAGTGCAAAAGATTCAAACTTCTATTTGGTTCACACTTTGCAACTTTTACACATTCACCCATCTGACTTTGTTTGTTGAACAAGACATAGTGGCCCAGTTTTCTTACTATAGCTAAGACCCAAATAAGTAGGTTATTCTCTTATATCAAATCAAAAGAAAACTACTCATTAGTCTTATTTGTAAACTAGGTCTATATTTCAGTTAGGTAAATGTAAAAAATGAGCAAACATGGTCATGTTGGTGTTATATTTAAAAAGTTGAAGAATTCATTAAATTTTCTTCAATAATATAAGTGAAAATATATTCATGAAGGCCCAAAGGACCATGTCAGGAAACCACAGATGAATCGTTAAGCCAACTGTGTAGCTTTAATGAAATATTACCTTCATTTTTTTATCAGTAAAGTACCTTTACCATGGGAATAATTGTAAAAGTAAAAGTTGAAGGTGCATTACTTTTAAAAGGAATTTTAAAGCTTTAAAAATAATAATAATATGAAGAGTCTTATATTTACTATTTTATTTCTAACACATGTTATGTGTTAAAGGATGTGGGAAATGTGAAAGAAATGTGGTCACCACAAGAATGTGTATTGAGACAATGAAGCGTTGTTTCAGCCAAAAATGTCTCCATGGAAAATGAGTCAGTGTGGTTCATGCCTATCCAATAGCCAAAAGTTGCTTACAAAGCAAAAGATCCATAGTAGCTAAACATTTCTAAATAACGTAGCCACACATCACATAAAAATATCATCCATCACCCTAGGCTGTTAGCTATATTTGAATTGGGATTGTTTAAAGATAGCAATAGTTACAATCCCCAATAAAACTTAACTACTCTGAATTTTGAGTGTAATTTCATGTAATTTAACTTGATGGTCTTATCTCTTCTGAATAGCATAGAGACACAAAAGGAGAGAAATAAAATTGAGTTATGGGAATTATATTTTATGTATCTATTGGAATATACTGTACTCTTCCCTGTGAAAATCCAGACTACAATATACAGGTTTACAGGTAGTCCACAATTTACAAGGATAATGAAGCATGCCTATTATAAGTTATGATAGCTGGAAATAAGGTCACCTATGTGACCAACCTAGTTTTATAACTTATTTTGTACATGCTGTTAATCAAATGCTTCAGTCATAAAGTGAACATTCTAATTGTTAATGAAATGAATTGTTCACTTTATGCCCTTTTTTTCCTGAAAACCAA